TTGATTACTTTTCCAATAGAAAAAGTTGAATTACGACGAAAATATGAAAAAAGAAACACCATGATGAAGAACGCAAGCAAATAGGCAAGTGGCCAAATATCATGAAGCCGCGAATCGCTCTAACTGCCCCTTGATCATCTGTGCATCATGAAGTTCGGTACGTAGGAGTTATGCACACATGAATTACAATAATGACTGAAGTGGCTGGCAGGCCAGTGATTGCAGCAACAGTGCATGTGCCTTGATAAACGCAACGTGTATCTGAGATCCGGTCAGTAGTCTCGTAATTTTCTCATATTATAGCGGACTTTGGTAACTCACGGCGAATTCAGGAGGTATCAAGAGAAGGTAGTTCAGTGTCAAACAACAAACCTCATAACTGTGTGCTTATACCACGCAATAAGTATATTTAATGCATTTTCTCGAACGTTTCAGATTCGTCCTAATTGGTCTTTTTGGAATATATCACAGTTACAGCGGTGAAGAAGAAACTACTGCATATGCAGCAGCAACTTCAATCTCTGTACGCAGCTACCATCAGATCTGTAGATATGTCGACCTGCTACGAACTAAATATGAACCAGTTGGTCCTGTACGCCGGCATTTCAACGTCGCTTATATATAACAACGCAAACGATATATGACGACCTCAATTATCAAAGCTGATTCGCCACAGTGAACGTCCAGAAAGAAATCATTCGATCCTGGAGACTCTTTGCCCCCTGACAGTGACGAACACAATGAAAGGGGCCATCTCTGTGTACTGCATGTTATCTCGAATTATGTATCGACAAGTGCCTATGCAATTCAAAACCCCTTTGCTATGGAGCCGTAGTTGGGTGTCATGCATACTAAAGAACGTGGAGCAGAGAGCCAAGCCATAGAGTACATAAACGGTCAAAACTGGTATAAAAGGACTCACAAAAAGCGCAGAAAGACTAAACTAGCCTTGAACACTGAGGAAGGATTACTTTAATGTATCCATTAACGCCATTTATGCAAAATAGCAAATCATACGGTTCGTTCCTGACATTCATATTAACGTGCCTAACGCGTCGTCAAGAGTATAGTTCACAGCATGTAATGACGTGCGCCTGCTTAACCACTCTTGCGACATAGTTCGAACCTTACTACAGAGTAGGTGATTTTGAATTCGTCGCATATTTTAGCTTGATCGACCGGTGTTCAACAATCGGAGAGATAACGATGTATCGGTAACAGCTCTCTTTCCACTCAGTTCTTGCTGCGGCTTACTTTGGCCACAAGAGCCCTTGCAATGCGTTGCAAAATTCTCCTTGCGCAACTATATGTTACGCAACGGTGGCCTTGCATGCCTGACAGCGATTATAACGCACTCTCAGACTGACAACCTACAGAAGGACCTGTTTCCCTCTGAGACTGTAAGTCAGTAAGCCTGCCTGGTAATGCTCAACTACCAGTTTAGCCAGCAAGCGACATTAGATGGCTAAAAGAACATGTATAAATGGGTCACAGTTATCTATGGGTTCCTTTACCCCTATTACGACGGGAGTAGGATTCGACTGACGAGAGGCTGTTAAGAATTTCAGTTGTCAGGCCATAAAAGCGGACGACTTCCCTCGCAATGTATGTTTAAAATGCAGCACATTAAATAAGCAAAAATCGATTAACCACCTGGTGTCAGAGAAGTGCTGCGGCGTCCT